CCATGACCTCTTGAACCCATGAGCACTGCACCGGTATCACACGTAACTTGTTGCTCGCAGAAGTATCATGATTTGAATAGGAAATGAATGTCGTCAAAACACAAAAATTATCATTTTTTGTGCTGCACTTTCATCTCATCAAGGTGTGTGTTATGGTTACATATGATAAAGAACCTACCGCTAGTTTCCTGTACCAAATCACGGATGATATGATTTGTCATGATGGACTTGTGAAGTGTATGTCTTCTTTCCTTTCTGAGCATTTTTTAGAAAGTAAAACAGCCGGTCTGATTTGTCATCGTTATTACCCTGCGTGGCCAGTCCTTGCCGGGCAGGATCATATTGCAAGCTGCTGTATGACTATCAGTAAAACATATACACTCTCTTTTTTATATAAGAAGCTTTTTCATAAGGACGTTCAAGCTGAGACTAGGCAAAATTTTAAGAACATAAACAAGCTGACAGAGAGTTACGAACGTCTCTACTTTGCCATTTTTTTTTTTCGGTGAGAAGTTGAAATAGATGTAAAAAAAATTAAAACTGCGATCAACAAGACAACTAACTCAATTAACTCAAATGCTTATGGAGAGTCTTAACATTACTGAATGCGGTTTTCTGAACGATACACCAGAAAAAAGCTCAGCATAGCCCATTGTAGAAACGTGAGAGGACTGGGACGAGTTTCTTATATTGATTACATTGAAAATCTAAACATTCAACTGAAATGTTACTGAATGAAAAGCTACCCAGCCCCAGCCAAGTTTGAGAGTTTTCAGCAGAAAAGTGTCCAAATTGGAGCCTTGCAAAAGTTGCAAAAATACCATACAAACCCTTTCAGTGCCCATAATGTCGAAAAATGTTTTTCGCTCATCTAATTCTACATTTCACCAAATGAACTTCTGCGAAAAAAGTTTTCGATTTGGTTAAAATGCAATTTTTTATAAGTTTTTAAAGAAATTCAAATTTGCCGCCATTTTGGTCCACCATTCGCACCAGTCTTCCTCGGTACAAAGTGAGTCGTGACGTAGGTTCAGGAAACATGTGATTTTGGGTTGTGACTTATCTGACTTGAAAACAAGTGGGAATTTTACGGTGGCCCATAAGTGCAAAACACAACACAAACACTGAAAACACAACATACACAAACTGAAAACACAAGACACAAAATGAAAACACAACACACATAAACTGAAAACACAACACACACAAACTGAAAACACAACACACACAAACTGAAAACACAATACACAAACACTGAAAACACAACACACAGAGACTGAAAACACAACACAATCGTCCAAAACACAACACACTTTCCAACGCACCAGTTTTGTTTCCGCTGGCCTATATGATACGCAGGCGCAATAAAAAGTCTGAATATGGCGGATAATAAAGAAGAAGCTATTCGATTCTACTTTTCGAAGAATTATGATTACAATACCATTTTGGACTTTCTTGAAAGATGCCACGGAATAAAAATGTCCGAAAGAACTCTTCTGAATCGTCTGAAAACGTATGGTCTGTGCAGAAGAGGAAGGGCAATAGATGAACAAATTGGCACCCCAACATAAATTTCACTTTCGAAAAAGAGAATGATAGTAAACTCTCCTTTCTTGATATATTTATCGACAACTCTTCGAATGATTGTGTTTTTTCAGTTTTTCATAGAAAAAAAACCTACACTGGTCCCCTAACAAATTTCTTTAGTTTTATTCCATCATGCTACAAATTTGGCCTTATCCGAACTCTTACTGACCGTATCTACAAAATCAACAACACCTCTTCCGGCCTTCAAAACGATCTTAAGAAACTTTCCGACACTTTAAAACATAATTCTTTTCCTTCGCATATTATTGAAAGAACTTTCAAGCGGTATCTTGAAGGGTCCTCCTCTCAAAATAGCCGGAACATTGATGACAATAATACACGTTACTTTAAACTCCCTTTTGTCGGCTATTATTCTAAAATAGCGAACCTCAAACTCCGACAACTCACTAAGCGTTTTTGTAAATCAGACCTAAATTTCAAACTAGTTTTCACTTCTTTTAAAATTAAAAACATGTTCATTGTTGAAAGATCGGTGTGTTGTGTTTTCAGTGTTGTGTTGTGTTTCAGATAAATGTATTGTTTCAAATACGTATATGGTGTTTTTAGCGTGTGTTTTATGTTTTCAGTTTGTTTGTGTTGTGTTTTCAGTGATTGTGTTGTGTTTTGCACTTATTGGCCACCGTAGAATTTGCTTCAGAGTGGTCACAATATCGTAAGCTCACAATTATCGTAAACGATCCGCACTCGACCAGTGTATTTATAATTTGGATATATCAACAAAGTTGAAATGGTAAATTGGTCACCGTAACGATTACAAAAGCTGACGTTTCGAGCGTTTGCCCTTCTTCTTTGCTCCGACGAAGGGCCAACGCTCGAAACGTCAGCTTTTGTAATCGTTACGGTGGCCAATTTACCATTTCAACTTTATTGATATATCCAAATTATTTCGTTACCCCCACCGACGCAGCCCCAAACAGTTTCTTTAGAAACTATCAGGCTTTACTCAGTGTATTTATATACACTTTTAGGTCAAGTGAGGTTCCTGAACCTACATCACAGACATCAGTCACGTGGTCATTTTGAGCACGTTATTCTTGTGATCAGTGGCAGGGGTCGACCGAAAGAAAATAGAATTTTGAACTTTGTAAAAATTCGTAAAAAAATCGCGTTTTTTCCAAATCGAAAAAATTTTTCACCGAAGATCATTTGGTGAAATGTAGAATTAGATGAGCGAAAAACGTTTTTTGACATTATGGGCACTTTAAAATTTTTCGCCGTCTACCCAATCCATACAAACTCTCTATTTTAGGTGATATTTGAAAAGCTGTGGTCATAATATCGTAAAGCGAAGGGCTCCGACGAAGGGTTAACGCTCGAAACGTCAGCTTTTTGTAATCGTTATGGTGGTCAATTTACCATTTCAACTTTGTTGATATATCCAAATTATTAGGTTCAATTTAGGGCTTTGTTTGCGCATTATAGTTACTCACAGTTACCCATTAATATCTGTTGTTTCGTTTCTCTTTTTCTTTAATTTGAAATATTGTAAGGGTGGACATAGACCACTTTCATAAATGGCTGCCATATAAATGTTCTTTTGTTTAAATTCAAATTAGCCCTACTGGCCTTGCTTGAGATAATGTATTCTTTTGAATTTTGAACTGGAGAACGAGGCCAGTGGGGCTAATTTAAATTTAAACAAAAGAATATTAATCCAGCAGCCATTTATGAAAGTGGTCTATCGTCATATTTCTATTGCAATTATACTTGGATTATGTTATTTGACTAATATATTTGATGTATTTTCAGTCTGATTTTGGTTTGTTTGTTTAGTTGTTTAATTTGGTTAGGTCTTCTCTAACTGATCCATCGGTTACTTCAGGGCCCATCCAATAAGGTCACAGTTTCAATCCCTTATATTCTTACCCACCCCCCT